ATATTTTTGTGACAGGTGTCAGACATTATGATGAGAAAACAATTACTGTGGATTAATACATGGAAAACATGTATTAAGAACCTGGTTATATTATTTTGGTGAGACCAGATACCCAGTTCCTGTGGCCTGACACCATATGATGTGTTTCCTACATGCAGCAGAGACCAGTGTGGGGATCTCTGGTCAGTGGGGGGGAGGCAAAGGGTAGAATGGATGTGATATAAGCAGGCATCAAGATCCAGAATTGATGGAGCCTCTGCCATCTTCCAGGTGCCCTGAAGCCTTTCATGGATGTCCTTAATGTTGATATACAGCCAAAAGAGTGAACAACAGAGAGAGAAAGTGGACAAACTCGCTCCCTAACCACTGCAGGCAGAAGTGACATGCAGCATCTCAGTTCACATTCCACCTGGTAGGAACAGGTTGAGCAGTCTACCAGTTCAAGAGAGATGTGAGATATAGTCTCTGGGTGGGTACCAGGTCAGTCCACACATGGTCTATTTTCCAAGTTATCAGAGGCAACAGTTTTACCAAATATCTCCACAGCTTAGCAAGCCCTCCTGCCTTCCAGCCTGCTATAATTGTGTTGTTGTTTTTGTTGTCTAACTTAAAATTATGCCACATACTTTGGGTTTGTTATATAATCACCCCATTAAAGGTGCCAGATTGACACTCACTCTTGGCTCCACTAAATCCCTCAAATTCCATTGAAAATATATAACTCTTGCCCACACCACACTCCAATGCCAGTAGGTAGTCTTGGTTGGCTTTGACCGAGACGGGAGAAAGGGTCTATGATGCACAATGTGTTAAAGGAACCCAGGTCACAGTGGGCTGTCATCTTCTAGGCACCTTCAAGGGCTTCCAGGGACACCTCGATCGTTGGCATCTACCTGGTACAGAAGGAGAGAGCTCTTAGAAAGGGGCACTGCCAAGCAAGTGCTCTACACTATGGAAGCCATGCCCAAAAATCTCCACTAGGTAGAGGTCTCTGCCATAACAACAAAATTGTTTTATATGCACTCTGTTTTTAAAAATTTAATCTCAAACTTATAAACAGATAGAGGTAAACAGTGGAGTAAATATGTAATGGGCCTACATGCTAGTGAGAGGTATATCTTGAACTTTCTTTGTGGTGAAAAAAAATGCTGCTTATGGACAATAGTCATTCAAATGACATTATTCTAATGATGTGTTTTTGTTGAGAAGTCCAACATTTATAAACATGGGACTGTGGCATAAAAACTAAAAAGGATTTGTGTAATCCTTGACTATACGGGTGAGGAAACTGAAGCCCCAGAGAAATGAGGTAACAAGCCAAAAATATAACATTCCAAAATGAAAAAGATTCCATCCTTTACTTTCTTTATATACCATCATGGTGGTCACTTGAGGTATCAGAGAAAGAAACTAGATCTCATGCTTCAGATTTAGAGATGATCAGAGAAGGAGCCAAAAAAAGGAGAGAAAGTCAGAAAAAAGAACTCTTACAAGCAGGTACCAGCAGACTGGCTTTTGCACCTCGTGTGAGGAGCCAGTGCCAGGCCTGCAGCTCAGGGGCGTAGCTGGTTCCACGCAGCGTGTCTCAACAATCCAAGGCCATACTGTGCAAAAATACCTATGTCCTGAGGTCCAAAGCACTGACTTCTATAAAGTCTGCCTAAACTTTTCTCTGTATCTTTTAAGGTTTCCACATCTTCATCATCTAATTCAGAAGGATCCTATAAACCCCACCCCCAGAAAGTGACTGTTCATTATTGCAGACCTTTAACCTCTGGGGTTCCACGGCCTGAGGTAGCAGACGCCTCTAAAATACATCACGAATTACAAGTACTCGAAGTCACTAAAACCCAATCTCGAGTCCCCCCCACACTGCCAAATACTACTACTTTAATGGGCATTTTGCCTCAAGGAGGGAAAAAATATGTATGCAATTTAGTAGACCTTTATTTGCTATTTTAATCTGATAATATTTTTATTTCAAAAATTATGTACTGTTGTGAATCTTAACAATTTCATATAGTTTGGCAAAAAATTATTTCAGACTTATTCTGTTTCACAATATACATGTTTTATAAATATATTTTAGGTACTTCTAACTTTTGTGATATAGAACTGTTACAACTACCAAGTTAACTGCAGCTGAAGGTAAAGATTAAAATTTAAACATGGAAGTGCTTTGGGAACTCTATTTCTAGAAGGTAGTAGAAGTGGAGGTTTTCAGCTGGAACCCACATGATACAGATATATTCTCGACTATAAGATCTTAAACTTTCTTTTTCCTTTTGTAACCAAAACATAGGTTCAGCTGCCCACTACTCTAAAAACCAGTACATGAGAGGCAGGTGCTGAAAGGAAAGCAGCTTATTTTCATGTGTCCACCACCTGAAAATGGTGGAAGATGGGGGACTCACGTCTCAAAGTGAGTCTCCACATCTCAGTGGAGGCAGAGGTTTGTATAAGGAGGGAGAAGGGAAGCAGAACAAAAGATCAAGGAAGTGGGTTGAAAAGTTTTCTATGAGCCGATGAGCACAGTCCATTCTGACAAGACAAGTGATGGTCCAATGTGCATCATCCTGGTTTAGCCATCTTGGATTCGTGTCAACACAGCTTCAGTAACCTGGATCCATGGTTGAAGGTCAGCAAATCTGGAGCTGGGATGCCTGAAGGTCAGAGTCTGTGTCTTTTGAAGTTAGTTCCTAGGATTCTTATACAAACATGCTGTTCGTCTACAAGCTACATACTAGTCAGAGCTGGCACTTACAGAAACAATATCCGATGAATGGTGGGGTAGGTTGCAATTTCCCACTGTTTTAATTTTCCACTGTTACAACCTTTTTTTAAAGCAAGTAACACCTTCCAGATATAGAATATGAAATCAGTGAAGAAATATGGTATCCAAAACAACCCTACAATACAAAGTCAGCCTCCATAGTAGGGAACTTGAGGCAGACATTTAGCAGATCTTACTGAAGAAAACACAATCATGTTACACTATCTTATTGAATAAAATCTCTCTTATTTCTTCATCCTGTTTTACTAGTCATGACTTTTCACCATTTGAAATTGATTTATGTTTGCTGCTGTTCACTAGTTTACTGTATTTCTGCCACCAGCAAAATATCAGCCCATTGAGGGAAGAGACCATGTCAGTTTTTTTTTTAATATAATTTATTTTATTTACTTATTTATTTATTTATCTTTAGAAAGGAAGGGAAGGAGAGAAGGAGAGAAACATCAGCGTATGGTTGCCTCTTGTGAGTCCCTTGCTGGGAACCGGCCCGCAACCCAGGCATGTGCCCTGACTGGGAATCGAACTGCGATCATATGGTTCGCAGGCCCGTGCTCAATCCACTGAGCCACACCAGCCAGGGAGACCATGTCAGTTTTGCTCACTGGTTTATCCCTGGTATCTAGAACGCTGCCTTGCATGTGGTGGAAGCTCAGTTATAGTAAGTGGAAGGAATGAATGAATCATCAGAGCAGACCAATTTGTTACATGGGGAAGATCATACAAACTCAGGCAATCCCAGTACCACAGGAGTCTGGAGGCCTCAATAAAACTACACTATCTTAACTGACCTGCTTTTTCTCTTCTTCCTGAATAGAGGAAGCATATTTTTAAACCAATTCCAAGACAAAGAACAAATTTATGGCATATCATTAACATGTAAATTAGCATTTGTTTTATTATTCCTAAGTAAGTTCAAGTTGGTGGTCTAAGAAAATGAACATTTCTTTTAATATGTTATTGTTTTAAGTAATCACAATTAATTCTAAAATTGTCTTCATAATATCTTGAATATTGTCCTAGATTTCTGGGTAGTTAGACACCTAGACTTATGGGTCTAGACAGCACAATGTGTCAGGGGGAGACCTGTGATGCACCGAAGGACATAAGAAGGAATTAGAACTCAGAGATCTTTGTCACAGACTTCGAGGTCAGATAGCCTTGGGTTCTAACTTTGCAATATGGTCCAGGCCATCATACTAATTTGCTAAGTATTCTCGGTTGAATTATATAACATCTTCGAGTCTCAGTTTCATCATCAGAAAGATGAATAATAGAATCTCATCAGATTTTTTAGTACATTTCACATAATGTAAAGTGTTTACTTGAGTGCCTGACACATAATCAGGGTTCAATAATGAGTAGCCATTATCATTAAGCCCTCTGCCAAGAATTGCAAAGACAAACAAAAAGACACTTGACATCATTAACATGCAAATGGAAAAACTGTGAAACATGTTATACCAAGTCATTGGAACAAAGTATTATTTTAGATATTCCCATCTGACATTTCAGGGCATTCAAAGGAAGGGTTCTGCACTTAGTCTTTATAGATTAAAATCTTCACGCAAACACTTCCTTAGCTCAGTGTTGTAAAATCTCCAAAGGTCAGCCTCCTGAATCACACTAATTTAGCTGCCACTTCGCCACATCAGAAAGCTTTATAAAAGTTCGTATCATTTTTCCTTTGTAGACATGTTGACAGCTTAAATCAGAACAGAAAAAAAAATGATGGGTCCTGAAAGGTATTAAGGCAAGGCAAATGTTAAATGCAACACACAGAATATCTAATTAAGATTAGCAAAAAAGCTCAAAACTTCTCCATTGCCATAGATCCTAGACCTCCACATCCTAAGTGGTACCCCAGAGATATGCGCACACACACACACACACACACACACACACACACCCCATCCCTTCCATTAACCCTTGCTTCCCAAGGGCCCAACAGTGCTATTATGTCTGGGAATAAACTAGCTCAGTGTTCTAGCAACATAGAGGCTTTCAAATCTGAGACAGAAATTTGAAATCTAAGTAAGAAATCTAAAATATCTTACACAGGATTGTTCTAATATGTTAATAGTAGTATGGACACAAGTTCACTGCTTTTGATTCATACAGACTTCATAAAACACACAAAAAAGAAATGAAGCACTAAATAAATGTTCATTTCTTGATAATTTGATTTATTCATTAATACAGGTCTATGTTGCTAAAGATTGACAAGGCACAGTTTAAAACAGAAAAAGGTACATAGAATATATTTGCAAGATGATGATATTGCCAATCAATGATTTTTTAGTAATCAATCACCTTATCATCTGTGCATTTTATTCAGAGTGAATCTAAATCTCTTCCCTTCACGTTCTGGGTGTAAGGATTTGTCACTCGTCCCATAAATAAAATTGAATCTAGAAAAGAAAAAAAATTTTTATGAATTTCTGGAAGGAAAAAAGTTAATAGTAATTAGTTTTTCTTAGTTTTAACAAATCAGTTAGACAAATAAGCAATGTCTAACAACAAAACCCTCTCTTTTGTCTAAAATAAATAATTACATCATTATTAATTACTTTCTGGTAATTTATAAGGTAAATTAACACCCACAAAAACTTGTCATGAAAAATACATTAGTCCAGTTTTTCATATAGGAAAGTAAAAATAAAGTGACCTAGAAGTGTTCTTCTAAATATAGAGACTCAGCCAGGCAAACACAGAATAATAAAATAGTGATGAGCAGAATAGAGTTTTAAATTTAATGCATTAGCAGTCATCTTTTAATGCATGTAACATAAGCCCTTAGGTTTAAAAGTACAGCTTCTCAAGATCATCAGCTCTGAATCAAAGCTCACTGCTAAAGATAATATTTTTATATCTCCAGTGCTTTCAAAACCTCATGGAGGTGATACAGTATACATCATAAATGCAAATGCCTAATTCCAGACACTTTGCATTCACAGGTGAAAAGGAACTAAGAACTAGAGAACAAAACAGAAATAAATGATGCGTTGAAAATCCATTCACCTTTTACTCAACCAGGGGAAGAAAAATGGTTTGAATTGAACTATGTCATGTGCTTTAAGTTCTTTACAATCATATGGAGTTAAGGTTAATTTCGAAAGTGATCGAATGAGTTCCATGCAATTTTAAAGCTGATGAAAATTATATTTTAATGTCTTTGCAATAAGAGTGATAGAGTCCTTTTCTGTTAGCTTTTGTACTGTTCAGTCTAACAACTGACACACTCTTAGATGAGCCAAAAGCATAGAAATAGATGTAATCACTAGCAGACTTTTTCTTCTTTTTTTGAATAATTATAATCAATAATAACAAAAAAATATAATCCATAGTAATAAAAAATCTCAAAATAGTTCTGAAAAAAAAGAAAACTAATACTCCTATTTTTCAGTCAGATAAGGATGCATAATTAACTTCTCCCAGTATAGTTGAGATGATTCTTATAACAATAAGAATCATCAGTTACTCATATCTTTATAATTCTATGGTATCAAAATTCTTAGGAGAATTATTTGTTCGGGAAGTTGTTAGAGTAACTTTTACAGAAATTCATAACTGAAGACAGTAGTTGAAAATATTAAATGCTCAGAAGTGTAGGATATTATACTAAAGCCACTTGTCTCAGCCTTTGAGATTGGTTTCTTTGACCCAGGAGGGCCACCTTTTAAATTAAGCATTCACACACTCACCTATCTACTCCCCACTGCACTGAGAAGGTTACTGAAATCTTGTCTGACATAACAGCAATAGATTTAGAGACAGGATGAAACAGAAATCATAACTGTTTTAATTTTCTCTTCATGTCCCCTTCTTAAAGAGGTATTCCATATTTAGTGATCATATTTATGCATATCTATATAAGATGTAAACAACGTTTGCCTCTTAATATTAAAATATAATAGCATAACCAAAGCTAATGGCTTAAAGTAAAAGTTTCTTAATAAATATCCTACAGTCTGTTTCTCCCTTCAATTTAAGACCTGAAAGAGTTCAAACACGGTATTTTTTAATATGCATGTGGCACTGTCAGTTTCAAAATCATGATTCACTACTTTCTCAGAAATGACACACTGCATGTAGCATCTTCCACAATTTTTCTCTGAAAGTGTCTAACATTGGCCTATATCCTCAGCCCTCAAGCTCCCAAGCCCTTCATCCTAGAAGAATAAAAACCATTTTTTACTTCCCTGGAAGTTCAGCTTAGTAATAGCTTTGAAAGACTACACTAAAATATAAAACTAACCTGATAGAAAAATACAAATAAGCATGGATTTTACACAATAGAACTGTTTGACCCAAAACAATTTTCAAATCTAGATAAAAATTGTTGCACTGAATCTGAAATAATTCCTCTTCATACTTCTGAAATTGTCAAATGAATATATTTTATATAGAGCATTAAGCCTCTTATTAGTCTAGTCTACCACGCTATGCAAAATCGCCATCTTCATCAAACTAAATGATTTCTTGAGTTCATTTGTGAAAGAAAAATAAACAAATCTCTGAATGTGTGTTGTCTTAAGATAATAGCCCATTCTACATTTTATATGGCCACAATTCACAGCCCCCAATAAATGGTTGAACATTCATTTTAAATAATACTTTAAGGGAATAACCCTAGTTTAGAAAGTTACATTACAATTAAGATCATGGAAGAGTAGAAATTGTCATTAAGATCTGATAGTGAAGCCATGTAACAAATAAATAAATAAGTGCTTTATTTTAGGTTTTGAATTTCACTGCCATTTAACTGATGACTATTGCATAGCCTTAGTCATCGACTTAGAAAATAGAGTCAAAAATCACTATTCTACATGCTATTATTTCCTGTTTATTGATGTCCAATGTAGCTTCATTTCTTTCTGTTCTCCATACTCAGTAATTGCATACTAATTGTAAGAAATTAGAGTTATTCAAAGGTTAAGTATGTATGAATCAAATGACATACTCAGAATATCTTTAAACCCTGACACATCTACTGCTGGAATTGAAGTTGTGTTTATGTAATTTCAGCCAATATAAAATGTCCCACTGTTCTCAGAATGTAACTTTCAGAAGGGCCTTTCAGCGTTAGTCTCGTGGAGTCTAAATAAAGAGACTGGCATCACCTTTTAGGGACCAATAACATCAAAATCCCTAGTTAATCTAATAGATTTAGATTTCGAAATTAATTATTTCTCCTTTCCATATAAACCAATTTATACAGAAAAACTTTTTTCATTTTCCTTTATGTAGTCAGTCATTCACTCAATAATATTTATTGATTTGTTTATAGTAAACACTACAGACTTAGACACAGTTTTATAGACTTCGTACATTCTTGTATTTAACTTTATGAGATGAGCTATTATACTGATATAGGAAATAAAGAAAATACAATGTAGAAAGTGTAAGTGATTGTGCTACAACTATTAGCTAATTGAGCTGGGACTTAAGCCCAGGTCTGACACTCAAATCCACACTCTCAGTCTCTAGGGATACGGATATCATGTACAAGGCACTCTGCCACACACTGGGTACGTGAATGAATAAAAAATGATTTTTGTTCTCTGGTTTATAACCTTCACATAGTCATTACAACTCTTGGAGTCCTGAATGTAAATTTAGAGAAAGTTCTCTCGCTGGATCACACTCCTGACCTCCCTTTTTCATAAAAGAAAGTATAGAAACATCTACCCAGACAATCTGCATTTCCACATGTTGACATTGTGTCGGATGCCAATTCAATCCACCACTATGACCTCTACCTTTTGTACCTAATTGCATCATCTTTCACCAAATTACTACATCAGAGATTTAGAATTATGTTTGGCCCATCCCTCCCACTCAGAGTCTATGCATACTCACTTACTTTTTGGGAATCTACCTCTGAAACTTTTCACAGCTCTACAGCTCTTAATTTGGATTCATTTTGTAGCATTGTAGATAGCTGACTTCAGAGACAAACACATCCTATCTAGTGCCTCTCTGCCACTTAGACAAATTACATAACCTCTGTCAGAGCTTCTGTGTCTTTATTAGTCCAATATCTAACCTGCTGAAATGATGTCAATTTAAAGATAATATTTAAAATGGTTTGCACCTATAATAGATATGTGAGCAGCTATTATTACCACTGCCTTAGTTTCGGCCCTTGATATCTCTTAAAATAGGATGCTTAGTACAAAACAAGCACTCAACAAATATTCATTGCGAGAACAAGTGATTCAGGTATGCAGATTGCAATTAGCAGCTAGGAATCTGTTTAACCAAAGTGCTTCCCCAGGGAACTCTCAAAAAGGTACCTGTTGGATTATTCTTCATAATAAAGAGAAACGGATGGTTTGCTGTAAATTGGTTTCTGGCCAGGCTCATGATCACAGGCATGTGTATTCCTATGAAACAGAGACAATGATTACAGATACTCACATTAAAATACCGGTGGAGACAATTTTTAAAAAATTAGTAAAGAAAAATATGTCCATAATGCTTTTTGTAGACAGGAAATGTCATCCGGTTTGAGGAGTTAACATGTGGGAAAATTACCCTTTTCTAAATGCAGAGAAGTTTGGAATAAATTTGAAAACCAAAAAGCAGAAGAGTAAATATTAGATCACTCATGGAGTAATGCCAACTTCACATTTATGCTCAATGAAGAAGAAAGCCAGATACTAGATTCAATTTAGTGAAAGCAGTTGAAATATTTTATCTTTTAAATAGTGATTTTCTTCTCACTTTTTATTTACATCATGATTTATTCTTATAGTTTCAACTCTAATTTCTATGCAGATATGTTTGCACTTTATTTCTATTCTTCAGGCTTGTGGTAATCACATCTGAGTTTAAATTCATTTTTCAACTTACCTTTCCAAAATTATTCTGTGAGTTCAGAGCTTTTAGAATTTGTGCTGTCAATGTGCATGGGGTTTTTACCATGAGATTAGAAGCTGAGATTTGCTGCTTTGGCAATTATTTACTATGATAATTTATGTCATGCTACCCTGTGGTGTCATTTGTCAATATTTAGAGTGGGTAAATTTAAATGATTGAATTTTCCTTTCTAGATTAAATATCTGTACACTCAATTCAGATGTTTTCTTTACTAATAATACAATGATTTCATACAATTTTTTAGACCCATGAAAAAATATTATGTAAAAATGTAACTTGTCTGTTCAGAATTGAACAACAATTGTACCAAAGGGGGGGAACTGTTCTGCACTCTTTGTTTGGGGTGTGAAAATTAAACTGACAAAAATAGATGAACAGAAGACACTGTTTATTTTTAACCCAACAGGAGCTCCACAGAAAAGAAGTGAATGCCCAAAGAAGTGATTAGGCTTGAGCACCTACATATACCATATGCACAAAGGGTGGTAAATCATGGGGAAGTGAGTAAACCAAGGAAACAGGATTTGGACTTGTAGGAGTGGTAAAATGTGAAGAGGTAAATATACAGGGAAGTTAATGATACATTAGGTTTATTCACTAAAGTTTGACATGCAGACTCATTTCCCTGCCAACTTCCTTCTCCTGTGATAAAGGTTCAAATTTATGCCCTGATTTAGGCTGATAGGAGCAGGTAGAGAGCTCTTTTTGTATCTCTTGTTTCTCAATTGTCTTCAGCTCAAAATAGCATTTCTGCCAAAAGTGACATATTTGGGGGCGGCATGTTCTGATCCCTTTCACAATAAAACATAAACTTAGTGATGTAATAGCACTATCCTATCTGGATTATCAGGGCTGTGTTGCCCAAATTACCAATGAATACAGGCCCATGTCTGAATTAATAAGATGACTGGAAAGGCAACGTCCCTATAACTGCCGTTCTCATTGGGTGAATTCCAGAGCTCCTTTGTTCTGGAGCAACCCCTGAGCACCGGCCTGAAAGTTCAAATACACTGACTACACTGCAGTATAACAGATCAGGGTCACCTCTGATCCCTTAAGGATTGATACAGCCTCTTAGAGAACTTTAGACTTAAAGTGAGAGACGGGACAATAGTAGAGGGAGCTCTGAACATGAAGTTAGGGAACTGATCCAGTTAAAACTCAATTGTCAAGGAATAGTCTGACCCCAAGCAAGCCACTTCACACTGCTGGGTCTGTTTTTTCACCAGTATAATGAGAGGGTCAGAAGAACACTTCTGATTCTATGTAAAATTCTCCATGGTGGGTAACCTCATACCAATGCAACCTTCTGATATCTCCAAGAACTGCAATATTGCATCCCCTCCAATGTAAGTTCCTTGAGCACAATAATGGAACCCTTCAAGATGATGGAATGAGAAAGTCCAGTGTGTCACATCCAGACGTCAAAATTCACTGGCACTACATTACAAATTAATCAAGAAATTCACATATGTAAACTTGCAAAATTACCAATAAGACAGTTTAAATAATACATAGTATTGCATATTGGTTAGAATCTAAGTAGTCTGAAAAATTAAAGTAGACATAGGAGGGGTTCATTAAAGTTGCTTTTTCATTTCTAATTAAATTTAAGGCTTTTCTCTAATTATTATTTAAGTGTCTCATATGCAGCAAGGATACTATTCAAAATGCCATTTGTTCAAGGGAACATATCACAGAGGAGTTGGTCTCAAATTGTAATGTGCACACAGAGCCCCAGGAAACCTTGTACTTTTCTGATTCAGTGGGTCCAAAGTTGGGCCTGAAGTTCCGCTTGCCTAACCAGTTTCCAAGCGGTGCTCATGCTGCTAGTCTATGCCCTGCACTTGCAGTAGCAAATACAGGCTGCCGGTCACTGCAGAGCACTGGTTCACAACCCTGGAAGCACAGTGGAAATATTTAGGGAAACTTAAGAAAATACTAGAGCCTAGATCTTATCTCCAGACAAACAGATTTATCTCAATGATTATTTTGGGCTGTGTACCGGGCTCCGGATTTTTAAAAGCTTTCCAGGTGATTCTACTGTGCAGCTAAAGTGGAGAACCATTACCATGGAGATAATGGAAAGAATCAATGACAAAAGACTAACACAGTGTGATGGAAGAATGAAATTAACAATGACTTAACAGTGAGTATTTCTAAACAATAATTTTTTTTATTTGAGCTTAACGTTTTTTCCACTCATCCCATCTGCAAAGTGACAGGTAATCCAATTTGCAAATAAGTGTTTATCAGTAGACAGGCCTCAACCCCTAATCAAATCCTTTCCCTTATTTTCGCATTACACTATAGCTGCAAGATGCATAAGCACCTTATATAACCAACTTCTTCTTTTTCTTCCTATAGAGGACTAGACAGCAGGAGTGAAAAGTGAGATCAGAGTACTGCAAAAAGCCAGCACCCTAATGCTCACTGTCCCCCAATCTTCCCTCCCCGCCTGTCGTGAATCACTTGTCCTACCAGTAGATGCTGCAGCTTCACTGCCGTCTTCGTTTATCTCAAAGAAAACTTGCTGCATGACCTGGGAAACATACACCTCAGAGGAATCTGTTGGAAAATATAAAAGTGTATTTAAGGGTTAAAATTCAGAGCCGTTGCTTATTTGGTCCCAGGTTAATTACATTTTGAAATGAATGAAGAAAATGAACTGAAGAACCTCTTTCCGGGTTAGTTAATTTGAGAGAGATAAAAGTGGTTTAGGTTTAGCTTTTGCAGGGACGGTTTAGAGACAGGCACAGAGATACCAATATTAGCCCAGATAGAAAAGGTAAAGACAGAAGGGTATGAGCCTCAAATCAGATCTCTCATTACGTGAAATATTTGAATTGTCGGCAGGTTTTGTTCCCTTTAGCCACCGTCTACAGAGAAGATGAAAGAGGCTTTATAGATTCGAATTAATCCCACCCTATGCATTCAACCTCAAAGCCAACTTGCCTTTTAAATTCTGCATTCAGTTTTGATCTGAGTTTAAAACAAAACTTACTCTCCTTTAAGACTGGTGAAACAATGAAAGTCTAAAGAGCTTTTGTGCTATCAGTTACAAAATCACTTCAGAGCTAGACTTTCAAATGTCAAAATTTTCAGTGTACGACGGCGTCATACAACATTTTGTTCTGCTGGATACAAGCCTTGGGAGACGGCCCCTCTTCCCTTTTCTGTGGAGCAGATGTGTGTGTGTGAACGCTGCCCACACAGTGTCCTGTGCGGATGGTCTCCTTGAGAAGGGGGAAGGGACACCTCAAGTTCAGAAGCCATCAGCCTTCCCTGCTCTGGTAAAGTCCCGCAGAGAGACAACTAAAATGTAGCCATTCATTCAGTGGTGAGGAGAGTGGAGAGGAGGATGGGCTTTGAAACTTGCCCATCCTCTGCCTAAACAGTGAAAAAAAGAAGAGGAGCTTCCTGCTTCTTGAGAGAGAAGCTGATGCGCTGCAGGTGGACTCCACCCAAAGCACCGAAAGTTGAAGGATTCAAGAAGAAATGCCTGAGCAAAAGGGAACCAGCTCCGCAAGCTTGCTGAAAAGTAAACGTCCTCAGGCAAGACAGAAGTCATTAAGGGACATTTGCATAAGAAACAGCCACCCATCCCACTAAAAATAAACTCTGAATCACTTATGATGATTGTATTTGGGCTCTGATTACTTTTAGCCTCTTCCACCCGCCTATCTTCTTCATCCAGCTACAAAGTCAAGCATCAAGTCCTTAACCCTAGCTCTCCTGCTGCTTAGAACTTCTTTCTCCGATTAGCTCCCTTGTTATTCAGGATTCAGCAAAATGTCATTTCCTAATAGCAGTCCTCCCTCACCTCATTCTGACATACAAAATGGAGACAAGTAGCCATCCGCCTCCTTGTGCAGATTAAGCGAAATGCAGGAGAATGTCTTTAAGGGCAGGCAACAAGGTGCCTTCTTTCTCCAGGATTGCCTGGTATATGACAGCATTCCCACAGAAAGCACACAGTAGATGACCTAGAGGACCATACCAAGGGCCAAGACCTAAAAGCAGGCTGGGGAGGAGTAGAGAATTTCACCCATTTTTACAATGATGCCACCAGACCAAGGGACTCTGGCTGCGAATGAGCAACTTGGTCTTGTATATTTCATCTTACTGCAGAGCAAGCCCAGTCTTGAGGAAAGAATGGGGGACATGGTAGGTAGTAGGCCAGAATAAGAAATCTTGACTCCATAAACTCACTCATTTCACCTATGTAGTAATACTTTCCTTAATTTTCTATGAAAATTCCACATATGTCTTTGTCAAATTAAAAAGACAAAAAAACCTCACACAGTTGCTAGAAAATGTGCAAGTAAATATTACTGATCCATTTACCCCATTTTTAACTTAAACTTTATTGAGTAACTACTATGTGCCAGATGTTGAACCAGGTGAATGACATACATCCTTTTATTCATTTCCACCACTAGAATAATTATCTCATTTAACAGATTTATACATTGATGCTCAGAAGGTTAAATATTTTACTAACAATGATATAAAAGGAATAACAGCAGTCAAATCTTCATCTTAAAATTTTCATACTAACTCTGAAATATTTTACCTAAAACTTCTTAATTGCCCTGGCTGGTGTGGCTGAAAGGTTGCAGGTTTGATTCCTGTCAGGGCACATGCCTGGGTTGTAGGCCAGGTCACCAGTAGGGAACGTGCAAGAGGCAACCATACACTGATGTTTCTCTCCCTCTCCCTCTCCTTCTCCCTCCCTTTCTCTCTCTCTCTCTCTCTCTCTCTCTCTCTCTCTCTCTCTATATATATATATATATATATATATATATATATATATATATACAAAAATTAAATTAAATTAATTAAAAAATAAAACATCTGAACTGCATTAGCAAAAGGTTTACTAATTGTTTTTGTGGTTTACTAATTGTTTACTAAAGGTTTTTGTGTAAAAGGTTTACATAAAATGTCTCTTTTGTGTAAATACCCTGTAGCAGTAGCCTTGGGCTGGGTCACAGTGGCCTTCAGTGAATGCTTATTCCACAAACAAAAGGTAGGGACTAGCACTGAAGTCCCTTTTTTCCTAACGACCAGGGACAGTGCCAGCCTTGGCTGTGGTTGTTCTATTTCAGACAATAAGACAGAACCAAAATAGTTAAAACAAATCAAGTAGGTAATTCAAGAGAAAAAGAACTGAAAATGTTGGACATTTTTTCTCTATTCAAGGCTATTCTCTTGCACAAATTATTTTATGAATCATTTTGAAAGTATTTTCTTGACAAATCTGCCTATAAAGAGAGGTTTTATACAATTCACAAATTGCTAGGAATTTGCAGAGTGAGTAACTGTCTGAAATTTCTGAAGTACAGCTAGTAAGTTTGCAAAGGCTGAAAAGAAGTTTGAGATGAAGAGGTGCTAGAAAAATGGTTTGGTTCATTTCGGGCGGCTGTGTTCCCAGGCACATTCAGACGCATCCTGTTGCAGTAGTTAATGTTGACTGCCGCATTCCTGATGCTGATGAAGCTGTCAAAGATATTAGATCCATCTGTCCATGTGGGAACAATTAGCTAAATCATGTGTGAAGGTGAAAATGAACATCTACGTCACCTGCGTGCCCCACCCAACTCTTCCACCAGGAAAACTCATTCTGTTCATTTATCCACATAACTGATGAGTAAAAAAAATTAATGAATGCTTCTTAAAGCCCAGATATTTATATCATAATACACAAAATTTCAATGTTATACTACAAAAGCCCATCAGATAGATAAGCTTGTATTATCAGGCCTAGTTTAAAAAATAGAAGTCTGAATTTAAAAGAGGGTCAGTAACTTGGGACCAATTGGCCCTCCTTATCTATCTTTACTCTTTAATTGTGTATTTTTGAACCAGTGGGTGCTGCTAAGATGAGAGAAATAAAAGACTGCCTTGAGTTTTGTTGTGCAAGTGAACATCTTAACCCTGCACAATTTCCCAAATTTGAGTGAGCATAAGAACATCTCAGTTTTGCCATCAGTCCCAAGCTAAACCTACAGGCTGTAGCATTACATTCTCTACATTGTGTTCATCATGTAGCATGTTGTCAATGCCTAGTTCATGGGCTCTGATATTACTGAATTAACATTAGCAAATTGGTTTATAAGTTTTATTAGCTCTGCTTAGATGAGAGACTTAAAGTTGTCATTCCTATTGTCCAAAGAAGAAAATCCAAATAGGGCCAAAATGAAAGGCCATGTGATACTTTGCCTGCACAGTTTCATTACAAGAAGAGTTGGAAGGCTTACCTGACATTGTAGAACGCTTTCTGGCTTTCACTAAGTATTAAGTGAAAGTATTAAGTATTAAGGAAAAATACTTCGGTGCAAAATAGAGTGCTTGTTTACACGTCGCTCGGACATTTATTCTTCATCGAGTTGTATTTTCCGGGACTGAATGCTCTTTCAGTCTTAAGATAGCCAGTTAAGAAAATACATGAACATGATACTAATTACTAGTTACTAAGTTACTAGTTACTAAGAAAATACATGAACATGATAATATAAGAATTATTTATCATATTACCTGTTATTCCAGAAAGGTCACAGCCACCACTAAAGATTTCAGTAATGTTCAAAGAATACAAAGCTTCTTTGAAATCTATTTTTTGTTCTACTTTAAATCTGTTTTAAAAAAGAGAGAGATAAAATGTATTGAAACACTATATACATTTGCTACCAATTTTTTTTATCTATAAGCTGATGACTTGGAAGAGATAATCTTGTGAAATCTTTTGTTTTCATTATTGCAATTACATTTCCTTACATTTCCACATACTCTATTTCTCCAGTTCCACTAAGTAGTTCTGGGTTGTTAATAACTTGATTTCCAGATAAAAGGTTGGTGGGAAGAGGGAAAGAGTACTCTATCTTTTGAAGTAAAAATTCCACAATTAAACAGGATGAGAGTTTTAAGTTTTCAATTGCATGGCTCCTTCTCTAGTGTAAATAGTTCCCCCCAGCAACTATATACACTCAGTTTTTTTCATACCAGCCAAGACTGTTTCTGGCAGATGTCCAAGATGCTCTGAGAGGGGAACAGGAGCCAACAATCCTTGGAGGGAATTGTTCCCTACTGAAGTACAGGGAAGCATTAATAATAGGATAACCTATTATCCTTCTCATCCATTGTCATAACGAATGTGACTTCCTTCAGTTTATGGGCACACCTAGTATCTTTCCAATAGGCCCAGTAAAAGGGGTAAACCTTTGAAAAGGAGCTAAATATCTTCCAAATGAAATATAAGAAAAAATATAGGAGAAAAACTTCTAATGCAGGGCAGCACCCAGGGAGGCCTCAACACAGTCCAGGTCCTTGTCACAGAACAAGAAGGAATTCAAGAGCCTGACAGACTGACAGCAAAGCACAGTGAATTTATTAAAGCAATTGTACACTCAAGAAGTGAGAGTGGGTGACTTCAAAGAAGGAACTGCTGACAGAGGTCTAGGTGGAAGGCTTTTATTAAACATGGGCAAGGGGGTAGACAGGGTGGTCTTCTGCTTCTGACACTGGTGGGCTCAACTGTGTCTCTTCTCTACAGGTGTTGATATTTTTGGTCCTCCAAATTACAGGAAATTGGAGAAGGGGAAGTGGGGGAACAGGTGGTCAGTGAAGGTTGGCTCTCTGATGTCCCAGCAAGGACAGAGAAGGAAAGGAGAGGGAAGGGGTTGAGCTTGATGCCTTTGTTTCCTATTCTAACTTTCCTACCTCACTTCCAAAGCAGAGCCATAAATTAGGACTCCAGATTCAACTCGGCTCTCCAGGCTAATATGAAGAGGGACCTTATACAGGGAATCTCAAAGATTCCCCTAGGCACTGACTGAGCCTTGATTCCAAGTCAACAGCGATCACTGAAGCTTACTTTTTTTCTATTTCAGCAATAAATAAATAATAATAATAATAATAATAAAGGTTAGTTCTCACTGACTTTACAGATGCTTAAGGTGTCAATCTGCATTTGAAAAAAACCATGTTGGAAACTTTGTTTATGAAAGAAAAGAGTGTAAAATCCTCAAACAGGGGGCTATGTACATTCCTAGTCAGCCAAATTCCCAGGCAACTCCTGCCCTAGTTGCTCTGCCTGTGCCTTGATGGGCACTTGCCTCTGTGTTCTCAGGTTTGGATGCAGACACAACTGCTCAAGCACCAGACCCTGGCTTAGCTAACTGGTGAGCCCACATCCAGAGCTAGAAATTAGCTTGGGCAATCAGTGTAATTAGCTCACAGTTTTAATTGTCAAATACTAAATAAACAGCTTCTTAACTTTAATTTTTCAAAACAATAAAAGCCACAGCAGAAATGTACTGGGTTTAAATTACTTCAGGTAAAATATTATGTACTTTTGGAAGATGTTATCCCATTCAAAACCCTACCTAGTTAGCTGGGAGTGGGTAAAACAGGAACATTCAAATTTACTGATAATGAAAATAGCTTGTTTTATGCCAACTGTTTTCAACTTCCTGCTAAGATATTGGTTTTGAGGGTTTGTTTGTTTGCTATTCTATTACCACCCTTTATTTTTAAACTGAATGGACTATGGGCTTCTAAAAAGTGGAGAATAAATGTCCCACTGATAAACTATTTTAAGGATAATAGCAAGAATATTCTAAGACTTATTACCACTTCTCATAATGCCTAATTGTTACCTGAGCCATTTAAGTAACAGTCCTGCACATAATACAGTCCAGTGAAACCTACAGCACCAGAAATCCATTTAACCCAACTAAACAAGATGAAAATTTAATAAAAGTATAATCTACATCACTTTCTAATTATCCATAATTATTGGAGCTATGAATAACCATGTGTGAAGTACCACTTCCATATGGTAGGCACTTAATATAGATTATAGTTTTTAGTCCTCACAAAACTCCAAGAAATTAGCATTATTATTTTCTATTGGTATTCTTATTAATGTGTAAAAAAAAGTGGAGGTCTCAGGAGACTGATTTTTGGGTTACAGGTCAAGATAGTAGACAGAAGTAGGATTCAAACTTAGGCCCATTCCAAGTCAAAGCTAATGGGCTAGCTCCTACTGCCTTCTAATAAAAATATAATTCAAAATCATAAATATATGCATATATAGTGTGAATTATACACCTCTTCCAAATTTTGTCTTGACATTTATTCTAGATTTTATTCACTTCTTTTCCTTGGTCAAAAGAATACAGCAAAGTAAAAGAAGAAGCAAAAGACTGGATAGACAATTAACAACTAACTAATCATGAAATTAATGTTTCAACACATATAAATGTTATCTATTTTCTTGCAAGACAGAAATTGACTGCCAAATGTGACCATTGTGTTTAAAGGGGTCTTACGCATGTAAAAAAAAATGAAACAAAGCAATTCGGAATTTTTGTTTTGAGACATTTTTTCCTTTTTCTTTACAACAAAGACTCTTGTTTGATGAAAAAAAAAGTTTTGGTTGGGTCCCCTTGCCCTCCCCATCTTTATTGTTTGGAATCCCAGCTTTGATACACTAGACTTGAATAAGCTTTGGAATGTTCAGCCCTAGAACCAACCAAACCAAATTTTGAAGTTGCACGCAAAGATAAAAATATAACATAATCCTTGACAGTGGTGAACCTGGATTATTATGTTAATGAATAGTAGCTTCTGGTCATTTTCTAACCAATTACCTCAAAGTGTGTGTGTGTGTGTGTGTGTGTGTGTGTGTGACTCTGTTAGCATCAGAGTTAAACTAAAAAGGATTCATGTTATTAAATACATATAAAAATACCTGCACAACATTTAATGTGAATTTAGGATTTGAATTTGTATAGGGTCCAATAGGTTAAAGCAAATGAATATTTTGTAATTACTACTGCAGCTGGTCATGACATATTTATTCTCATATCCAGCCTCATTGCCCTGCGTTCACCTTCTTTCACCCACGCACCATTCACATTCATCCACTTAGAGATTCACAGCTGGCCAAGCCTGGGATTGATTTCTAGCTCAGCAGGAATAGGATACTTCATGTCCTACAGCAGGAATTATCTTTTTTCAAAAGTCTCCTTGCACTGCTGCTCCACATCTTTAATCTTGCTGCTCACTCTACCACTGACCATTTGCTGTGTCCTGTGCTCTCCTTCTTGCTGGCCCCACATTACACTGTTTTCTGACTCTTACAATTTTGGCTCTGCCATTTGTTAGCTATGTACCCATAGGCAAGGTATTTACTTGCCTTCACTTTATTTATAAAGAAGAATATCAGAATAGATCTTTATCGAATTTATTATGGGGAATGAATGAGATACAGTGAAAAGGAGAAGATTTGATACTTCCGATCAAGATGGTGGCATAGGCACACATGGCTCACCTCTTTGTACAACCACATAAAAATTACAACTAAAATACAGAACACCCATCACTCAGAACCATCAAAAATCCAGTTGAATGGAAGTCTGATAACTATTGTATTAAAGAAACCACATCCATCCAGATGGGTAGGTGGCATACAGATGCAGAACAGGTTAGTCTCACACACACACATGTGGTGGATAAAAATTCAAGAGGGTTATCTTGTGGGTGCAGAGTCCCAGCCACACACCAGGCCCCCAGGCTAGTGGTCTGGTGCCAGGAAAACAAGTCCCCAAAACTTCTGGCCACAAAAACCAGTGGGGATGCAGTCACTAAAAGACACTTCTGGAGGCCCAAGCAGTTTTTCTTAAAGAACCAACACACAGACTCACCTACTAAGACTCATTCCCTCTGAGCTCCAGCACTGGGGTAGCATCTCAAAAAGCACCAGTGGCATACTGGGAGAAACTGAAGTGTCTAGTATCAAGACAAGCAGAGGTCATTGTCCTTTTGCTGAACCTTCCCCCCACAGAGCCACAGAGCCAGCAAGCTGATGCCATATCTGAGACTCTACCAACCTAGCTAACACAGTTTGACCCATCCTAGAGATCCCCAGAGACTCTGCCCCACCTAACTTATGGGCTCACCCAATTTATGGGCCCACCCAAGCTGCTTTTCCATATGAATGGCAGGTCTTGGCTCATGCATCACAACTTCTTAAATACTATCAAACAAGCAACAGCCAGCCTAGATTTCCAAAAACATCAAAAGTAGCAGCCATCTCAGATTGCTTTATAGCTAAAGCAAGGTGGCCCTGGGGAAAAACACAGATGGGGGTTGACCTTGGCCAGCACCACCTGGGAAACCCCAGGGCTAGCACACCCAGAGGACAGCTACAGACCACATCAGAGTACCACCAACTAGCTCCTGCACAGCTGATCCTCTACAAAGGGCAGAGGTTTGTGGCAGCTGACTGGCCTAGGTAAAACACTCCCATTGATCTGTCAGCAGCAACCAAGGCTCACCTGCAATAGGAGAATTTACTCACCCACAAGAAGGTACACCTTGAGTGCCCAGCTTGGGTGGTAAGGGAGGCTGTGCCACTGGACCCTGCAGGACACCTACTACATTAGGCATACTACCAAGACATGGAGTCAAAACCACTCTAATACACAGAAACATATACAGGGCGGCTGCTGAAATGAGTAAACAAAGTAACATGGCCCAAAGGAAATAATAGATCAAAACTCCAGAAAAAGAGCTAAACAAAATGGAGATAAGCAATCTAACAGATGCAGAGTTCAAAGCACTGGTTATA